CAAGGGAACAGAAAAAGACGAATTAAAGGAACAGAAGAGATCCTTTAAAAATGTTGCTCTAAGGGTACATTTGCATAATTTATTATTACTAAAACATTTCATAATGTAAAAAAGATTTATTAGGAATATAAAACTAAAAAATATTTAAATTATATCAAAAGACAGACCAAGTTATGATCTGTTTAAAAGATCCTAAAAATTCTAGAAAAAATGCTTTCAACAAAGCAAAAAATATTGCAAATTCTATGGATTTTCTGGCAGCTGGGATATTAAGAAAATAGCGCTTTGAGTAGCTCGCGAGTGCACATTTTTCATCAGAATTTATCTTGTAATATTTCATTTTTTTCATTAGTCCCTGTAATATTATTTTCAACAATTTCTATTACAGATTTTGTTAAAAAGCTTTTTGTAATTGGCCAAAAAAAGAAAAGAAAAACAGATTTTTTTGCGTCCACCCTTTAGAAAATTTGTGTTTTTTGGCAAATATACTAAATACCTTCAGGTTAATTCAATTTAGGTTAAAGTTTAAAGTCAATTTTCTTGGTTCTTGTCAACGTGTAATCCAAGAAATAATATTTATTTTTCTGTAATCCTTTATTAGAATTGTGCTTTTGAGCCACACACATAATATTTAATAAAAGTGTCGAAATCTTCCAGTTTCCATCATGGTTTCTTTCACAGGGGGGATTCAACAATATTTCTCACACCTTACTTTTTATCATTTTTCAAAGAAATTTATTTTTCCTGATTGAGTGAGATTTTTTTTGTAAACAACATCTTTCTCCAGAGACCAGATTAAAACCACATGAACTTAGTTCAACTACTTCTCTTCAGATTGAACCATCGCTCAAGAGAAGTGGTTCCACTAGGTCTTCGCGGTTCAGCTATTTCTCGCTATTCAGTTAATGTGGTCCCTGAGTATAAAACTTATTTTGTTTCTTGAATTCTCAAGTCATATATTTCTAAACTTTATACTTTGTCTCATCTGACCCATCAAAGTCTAAAAGTTGGAAAGTTTTGGAAACTCACCCTTTATTCCCTTTTATTCCCTTTTATTCCCTTTTATTCCACATTTATTGCAGATAAGTTTTCCTCAGGCAACCTTATACAGTTCAAACAGATACAATCTTCTTTTCTAAACAACATTCTTTTCTAATCAATCTTCTTTTCTAAACAATATTCTTTTCTAAACAATATTCTTTTCTAAACAATCTTCTTTTCTAAACAATATTCTTTTCTAAACAATCTTCTTTTCTAAACAATATTCTTTTTGGAACAATCTTCTTTTCTAAACAATCTTCTTTTCTAAACAATCTTCTTTTAGGAACAATCTTCTTTTCTAAACAATCTTCTTTTCTAAACAATATTGTTTTCTAAACAATCTTCTTTTCTAAACAATCTAATATTCTTTTAGGAACAATCTTCTTTTATAAACAATAATCTTTCTTTCTAAACAATTGTTTAGAAAGAAAGATTATTCAGAAAAGAAAATTGTTTTTAAAGGAAGATTGTTCTTAAAAGAAGATTGTTTAGAAAAGAAGATTATTTAGACAATCTTCTTTTCTAAACAATCTTCTTTTATAAATAATTTTCCCAAATGTATATTTAAGGTTATGTTAGTCCTTCTGAGGCGCCACAGGTTGCAATGGAGGCCGAGCGCTGCTTCTAGAACAGACTTCGGAAGTTGCCACTTAGGAAATTGCACATTTGATAAGTTTCCACTCGGAAAATAACTTTAGGAAGTTGCCTTTCGGGAAGATGCCTTTGGAAAAATATCTGAAGTCAATCAAAATACGAATTTGACTACTCAAACTCTTTATGTCTAAAGTTAAATAAATAATTTTTTTTTCTAAAAACTTGTCTAAATTTGTTAATTTCCAACTTTAAGCTTCACCGTAGCCTCACAATATGAGATTATGATGATAGTGCACTTTTGATGCAGTTCTTCCTGAGCTGCATAATTTGCATTCACGCCCACTTTCCAGAACTAAACAAACTAAGGAATTGACGGGGGAAATCGGTTTAAACTTGTGAAACTGGATAGGATNCATTAGTTTCGTTATATTAAGTTTCAATCTCTGAATTATATATTTTCTTTTTACAATTAGTTCTTAATTTACGCTTTTTAATATATATTTTATATAGAGACATATATAAACGCATTATGTATAAATAAGTAGGTTTTATAAACTACCCCGAAATCTGAAAACATCGAATGATTTAAAAGTTTTATCTGTGTTTGCATTCATATAGCATTGATCTGTATCAAGATATGTAATCCAGCACTACTTTAGTTTGCTATGGAAACTAATAATGATAATATTATTAACATATTTTAATTTATCTAGCACTCACAGTGTCCCTGGAGGAACCATAAACTTTTAGAAAAAGTCCCAAAAAGCGTATTTTGCCATTTTATTCATCTTGTTCTCTAATTCCCAAAAATATAAAAATTTTAAAAAATCATTTAAACAATCCTTTTTTTTTAAATAGGTCATGAAAATCTGCCATAATTAATGTTTCGGCTAAACTTGTAATGCAATTTATACATATTAACAAACAAAACGTTTCGGCAAAAGTTGTTCAATTTTTATGTTCTAATAATCATTATTAGCAAAATCTTATCTATATTTAATATTCTTATATTGAGAAACAATAGAATGGAGTCATTGCCACAAACTCAAGTTTTCTAATCCCAAAATCTTTGCTGCCTGATGGTGTAGACCTGAAATATTTCAAACTTAGATTATGGGAATTAACAGAATTCATAGTTTGAAATATCTAAGGTATACGACTAAAGTTTGAAAAGATATAGGGATTAGAAAATCAGGGTTTGTGGCAAATACTCAACATAACCTTAACTAGTTTTATGAATCAATATAATATAACTGAGTTCTAATGCCCAAAACATCACAATGTAATGTTCTCCAATGTAAGAATATTTTATTTTCAAACATGTTCGGTTCTATATTTATTTTAGATAATTTACTCTTATGTTAGTATGGCGAGAAGTTACAGGTAAAAGAATTGAGTCTTAGCAACAAACTCTGATTTTCTTATTACTTATATCTTTGCAACCCAATGTCCTATACCTAAGATATTTCAAACTTTGAATTCAAATAATAAAAGTTTGAAATATCAAAGCTTTACGCCGTCAGGTTGCAAAGTTATAAGGATTAGAAAATTTAAGTTTGTGGCAAAGACTCAACTCTTTTTAAAAATGCATGTTTTTCTGATCACCCTGTTTCTCCGCAAGTATATATAAAAGATATAAAATTTGACAAATAATGTTTTTAGACATTTAAATTTAAAAACATTTTCCAAAACGTTTTGTTTGTAAATACATTAGAAATTAAATTACATGCAAAAGAGAACTAACAAGTTAAAGTCGAACCCTTAATTTTGGCAGATTGTTATGATCCCCCTGTTTCTCCGCTAGTATATAAAAGATAAATAAAATTTGAAAAACAATGTTTATTAGAACAAAAATTTTAAAAAACTTTTTGTAAATACATTATAAATTTCATTACATGCACAAGAGAAGTAAAAAGTTTTAGCCGAACCCTTGATTTTAAAAAAACCCCGAGATTTTATATTATTTTTATATTTTGAGAACTAAAAAACCAAAAGAAAAAAATGGCAAAATACGTTTTTTGGGACTTTTTCCATGGACACTGTGCATTACTATAGTTTACTATGGAAACTAATAATAATAGTGTTATTAACATATTCTAACTTATCCAGCACTATACAGGGCCGGTGGCGTTTTTTTTACATTATTTACGATTGCGAATTAAACATATTTTAAGATTTTTATATTTTTTTATGATTTTAAACTAGCTTAGTATAAATCACATGATAATGAGACATTTACCATTAACATTACCATGGAAACTAAATATACTTTCAAAAGCTTGATAGTTTTCATAAACTCGTTTTGTTGTCTAGGATAGAATGGAAACAGATACTGAGTTCTTAGGTTAAATAATATATCTACACAAAGGAACTGAGATTTTGTAACAAACTCAAACTTACCAATCCCTTCAGCAGATCTAGGGTATTGATATTTCAAAATTATTCTAAAAGAATGTAGTTTGAAAGATTGGAAAATCAGAATTTCTTAATATTTTAAAAATGCTAATAACTCCATTATAAGAGTTTCTAAAACTAAGGGTGGTGTCAAAAGTAATCTTGACTAAAAGAGAAAAATAAAATATGTCCAACAATTCAAGAAAGTTAATTCTATGCATTAATTTTGTAGATATTTATCTTATTTTTTAACAGTGTCGTGTAAATCCACCACTGATAGGTTTAGGTAAGTATTATGTAAATTTAAAAAAAAATTTTATCCCAAAGGAATTGAGTATTTGCCACAAACTCTGATTTTCTAATTTCAATATCGTTGGAACCCAATATCGTAGACCTTAAATATTTCAAATTATGAATGCTATTAGATCAAACATTGTAAGTTTGAAATATCACAGGTTTACATCATAAGGTTGCAAAGATATAGGTTTTACAAAAACTGAATTTGTGGCAGAGACTCAATTTCTTTCTCAATATTTTCTATAACTGGAGGTTTTAAAAAAAATACTCCTGTGTATTTTTACATTTAAAGAAAAATTGAAATATTTTAAGAAAAATTTAATCATTAACAATACAAAACAGGAATAGTTAAAATTACGTGTATCCAAAGCTTAAAGACTCTGAAGAGATAAGACAAATTAAATAAGAGATTTTAGTAAAAAATTGAGATATCTGAATTTATTGACGTAAATCTGAAGATTAAAGATATAAATATAACTTAAGAGATAACAGATATTTCTTCAAGTTTAATTATGGTTTATGTTCAATTAATAAATGTAAAATTTCATTTGTTTTATTTCATTTAAAGATGCCGTTTCAAAAGGGTACCCTTTAAACCTTTAATTGATCATCGAGGACAGAGAACTCAGTGTATATGTCTCTCAAATGTTGTGTAAAAAGCCGTAAAATTGGAGTTTACTCTAGCGTAGTGTGTGAGCTCAACACGGATGACGTCAGATTTATTCTTAGAAAATCAAGAAAATTTTATGTCCAATGCGGTTTTTTAAAAATTAATATTTTTGTATGTTGCCACTAGTAGAAAGTAAACATTAATATTCCTTAAATATAAAACAGCTTGCAAACAATTATAGGCGTTTCTGCAGATAAATAAGGAAAAGTCTTTCATCCTTGAAGACTAAAAGGTTTAGAGGGTACTGATGGGAATCGGGGAAACCCATCTTTAAATGGGAGGTCACTTGAAATTACGCTCACAGTCCCTTTAAGGTTTAAGATTGCTGGAACATATTTGTACCTAAATACGATTGTTTTATATTCTTCAGTACTTCTAGGGATGTTTCTTGTACAAACATTTTTTATATTCCCGCTTTATTTTCCTTCCTCATCCATACTCAAGAACTTTAAACGTCTCAAACCACACTTTAATGTCCCAGCTGGACATATTTAGCCTAACTTGTCACTTATCACTTGTTCAGTTTAAATCCCGATCCAACCTTAAAATATCCCGCATCAATCTTTGACAAAGTACAATGGTCGGCGATTATATTAATACAATGAGTACGATTTTTTATTAATAATGATTTGATCACCAACAAACATTTTCAAATTTTCAAGCAATTTTCAAAGTTGACAAGAAAACGAAGAAACACTGTTAAGCTCTTTGTTGTCATGTTTGTGTGTCTCTGCTGTTTAACAGATTGGTAGAAATTGAAATTAAATATAAAGTCGATTTCATTGTATTGATATATACGACGGCGCCTGTACATGTATATTTAATTTATAAAGATTATGTACAGTACACATGAAGCAGTTCATAAACTAAGGAACAACCCAAATACATCAGTAACTTTGTTCATTTTTGTTCATCTTTGTTTCGTAAACATGATTTTCTAGTTTCACAGTTAAAACATTTAACACCGAAGACTATAAGTCTCAGGATTTTCAAAATGTGGTCTACCATTCTTTTTTCCGTCAAAATTGACGGAGATATCAGGATCAGATTCCAGTTTATTGAAAATCAATAAAACTGTTCAAATTTTAAAGATACAACGAAGGTAGACCATATTTTTGGAAAGCTCATTAGACTTTCAATCTCTTTCGATGCACTTGATATCATTTATTAATCATCAGAAATCAAAGACGATATTCAAGTCGTCTCTCAATGTTTTTTGGGACCCCCTGTAGTAGGTATTCGGACTTTTAAAAGGCTTAACAAAATTCGAAATGTTTTACAAATTTCAAAAAGGAAAAATGCAACCAAACCAACCCATGGTACAGTGAAACCCTTAATAACGAATACATCGGAAGAATTTATCAAATATCGTCATGAAATTTTTCAACATATTTAGTAAATTTCAGTATTTGCGAAAATAAATGAATAGCCATGAATATGCGGGGACAGTTTTAAAGAGTTCCATATAATCATTTAATTAAAAAACTAAATATCTGCAACATTCCATTATCAGAAAGTGAAGAATACGACATTTGATGAATTCTTTCGATGTATTCGTTATTAAGGGTTTAACTGTATGATTAAAGTTAATTTATACTTAAACTTTTTGGTCCTTTACAATCAGAAAACTTATAGAGAAAACAATATAAAAATTCTGAATTCCTATATCTTAACGTTGGTGATAAACCTTAGGTATCTCAAATTGAACTCTTTAAGTAAAGGTCTCAACCACAATATGTTAAGTTGCAAAGATATCGGGGTTTAAAAAACTAGGTTTTTGGCAAAACTCAGTTCTTTTATTTAATTCATTAGATAAAAAAGAATAAAAATGTATTTTTGCAGCGTCGGATGGCTCTCAGATTAGTATTCATTAAATACAGCTCAAAATCCCAAGAAAATATTTTTTTTTGTTTCACCATCCACATGCTATACAGGGTGTTCCAAAAACATGGGAATTCAGTGACGAATTCGATATCGTCTTTGTTATGAATTAGCATTGTAATACCTAATTTCAAAAGCCATAATAGTATTATGTCTGCTAGAGTTATTTTATGAAAAGGGTAAAAGACTGTAAAGATGTGTCTATAATGTCTCCGCATGATGAACAGTGAAGGCGGACAAGTTTACTCTGTTTGTATACTGCAATTTTCTTGTTTTACTGAGTACAACCATATGTAGTCAAAACATAAACAAACAAAATGTGAACATAGCAGACGAATCTCTTACAGATTACAGCTTTCTCAGTAGGTATCACCATACTAAATCAAGGAATTATTTAAGAACACGATATCGAATTCGTCACTGAATTCCCATGTTTATTGGGACACCCTGTAGTATATGTTGTAAAATGTACATGATAACACTAAACAGCACTGTTACTATTGATGTACTGTCTGTATTGCACAGACCAGATGTCCAACAAAATTGAGGAAATATTTTATATTGATTTTAAAAGATTTTATAAATTATCAATTGATATTTGTGTGAGTAAAAAAGATAATCCGTGTTTCCTCAAAAAACCCAATATTTTCTTTTTTTGATATTTTTTGAGAACATTCTGATAAGTAATAAATTTAGCTCAAAACATTTAAATAATTTTCCACAGATTGTTTAAAATACATCAAAAAAATATATTCTAATTTAACATATTTTTTCTTCTGAAGATAATCTCCAGACAGATTGATAACAAAACGGATGAGGTAAAATAAAATTGACATGGTTTTATTAATTTAGTCCATATTTTAACAAATTTAATTTATTATAATTTAAATAAAATTATAGA